GTGTGTGTGTGTGTGTGTGTGTGTGTGTGTGTGTGTGTGATCAGTCAGTACACACCCTGAGGTTGAATCTTTGTGTTACTGAAACCTTTAACTCTGTTTCCTGCCTTGTCTTTATAGAAATGTGGGATTGTTCTAAGCTGGAAAAGAGTTCAAGGAGCCTCTGGGAAACTTCAAGGTAAAAGTTTAAACTTTTTAAATTCAGTTCTGTTCATTTAGAGACCCAGACCAGTATTTAACTGGGCTGTGACTGGAGACCAGCTGGATGCTCAGAGCTGTGAGAAAACAGCAGCTTTTTATGGTCACAATTTGAAACAATGAATTCTACGTATTGGTTCAGTAATGGACACAGTTTATTACAGGACATTTATATTGTGAGACTTTTTGTGTGACTGTAAGTTTTAACATTTTTAAATCAACCACACACAAACACCACTGCTCCGGTACAAACCAGTGACAAACCAGTGAAAGCTAAACAAAAGARAACRTGTAAATACACACACCAAACCACAGGACTGTGGTGCACAGGTCAGATCTGACACTCTGTACCTGTAATATTTTCACATCAGCCAGCCCTGCCAGACAAAGTCAGCCTGATTTAGGTTCAACTAGTTGAAGAAAAGAAAGTACCTGTCCAGTTTGTGTACACACAGGCAGAGCTGCACAGGTTTAGCCTCCTGACCAGCGAGGTGCTGAATTCTATCAGGTCAGTTTTAGTTAGAGGGAGTTCAAGTGAAGTAACCTTAACAAGGCAGCAACATCTTCTTAAGTTACATTAGACATAATGGAGGGAAATAGTTTGATCAAAGTCTCATAAAATGTGAGTTATTTTTTTATTGAACACTTGAAGTAGATGCTGTCAAACATTTTTGTGAGCCTGATTTTAAAAGTGAACTTTGATTTGTGGTAGATCTCTGTAGCCTCTTTAAAAATACCCTCAAACATGAGTCAGTGTTTCACCTACAGCAGGGGGTCAAACTCTTTTTCACCGAGGGCCACATGAGAGTTATGGTGGTCCTTGAAGGGCCAGTTGTAATGAACTTTGATGTTTCATGTTTAACTTTGACTAAACAGAGTTTTAACACGTCCTCTTTTAAACACTGATAAGAACTAAGTGTACGACTGACTCAATCTGAGATAAATACATAAATATTATTAAAAGTAAAACAAAAAAGTTTTACTCACTGATGAGTTTCTAGTGAGGAGCTGCAT